TGTTGTAATGGGAATAACACGTACCCTAAAGTATCAGAAGCTTTGAAAAAATATTTTGTAGTTAAACCTTTCCATTATTAAGATGGAAATTAGTAAATGATTTATTATACCATTAATAGTTAATTTATTGTTAAAGTATTGGCATCAATATAATTATTTGCTTTATCTCCCACACATTGATGTCAATGACTACAATTTGACTGAGTCTTTAGTTTTCCAATACGGAATGAAGAGGCTACCACATTTGCATTGATTGTTCTTGTCCCTCATGCTTTCCTGGGACCCCAGCAATCATCTCACTCACCATGTAGGCTGGACAGGCAAAGGAGCAAGGTCAGAGCCCCCAGGAAACACGGAGACAGGGAACAGCTCCCTGGCAAGAGCCTCATGGTCTGTGTTCCTTCCAACCAACAGAAGCTCAAAAGAGGTTGCAGATTCTGCCTGAAGTATCTGGAGGAAAGAGCAAATCTGCAGTAGCACCTGCCAAGTTGGAGGCGAGCTGTACAACAGTCAGCAGCAGCTAACCCGTGGGGGAAACTGGGTCAAGAGTGAGCTCTGAATTAGGAGGAAGCTTAGGGGAAGGGAGCGGAATTGGGTTTCCTCAAATCAGTGGAGTCAAAGGCCCCTGGAAACCTCAGTTCTAGCATCCAGGTTCTGATAGTGGAGCAAGGAACATGGTGGAGCTCTGAGGGTAATTTAGAATGTGACCCTCTCTTTTCACTGCAGGAGCGGGATTTCAAAGAGATATAAGGCATTTGTTCCCTGAGTGACAAATAAAGAGGGGGGCGCTTTGGTTTAAAGTGAGTGGTCTCAGCCACCCTCAAGCAGACCTGGAGGAAAATAAAGCGCAGTCTGAGGTTCCCTTAGAATCTGGACACTGCAGTGGGAGAGAAAGGCACGTCTGCAAAGGACTGCCTACTCAGGAACGGGCTGTGACTTTTACAAGGATGACATTAAAAAACAGAACCAAAGATGGTGGGAAAAAACGGAAATTTTTTCTCAGAGAAGTTCTGGAGCGTCCTGGGGAATGAGAAATATGAACAGAATTTAAAAATACAGACAGGACTAACAAAACCGCTCAGATGGTCCTGAGTGGGACATTGCTTTTTGTTACCATGATTCACCACGTTGTCTAATGGAGCACACGTTGGTCCTATTTCCATAGATTAAAAGAGGAAACAGTGACACCTGACACCATGAAACGCATTCAACAACACACATGGGAACAGCTGGTATTAGCCACCATGTCATCCTTTTAACCATGGAGGGAGGAAGAGTCCCCAAGACTGTAAGAATCACCTGGTGTGGTCTCTGACAGCAAAAGCAGTGAAAGATGTTTCAGAGCATAATTGTTACCTTCCATGGGAAGTGATACTGAAAGATATGCTGATGCTTACTAAAAAGAAGATGAGTTTGGAAAAATGCCTGCAAATGACCTTCTCTCCCAGTTCAGCTCTGCAAAGACAGCTACAGGAGTTCAAAATGTACTTACCAGAAATAACTGGGTAGGTCGTGATGCAATATTAATTATGACAGGATTAAATTGCAGCATTCCCTGGGAGAAAGAGAACAAATAAATTTCATTGTGAATTAACTTTAGAAAGAGTACCCAAAACAATCACAGAACATTAAGTAGAAGCAAGCAAACTAAAACATTCAATAGAAGACTATTTCAAATGACTCCTTCTACCTATTAAGCACCTACTATGGTCTAAGAGCTTTCTCTAAATGATTCTGTTTAGACTTAGAATCATTCCATGATTTAAAACCTCCTTTCCAAAAAGGTTAAGTATTATTTGCCCACAAGTAATAAGTGTCTGAGCCAGACAGGATCTGAACTAGATATATTCAGATTTATACTAAAACTTATACTGTTTGTTATCCATGATTCACCATGTTGTCTAATGAAGCACACGTTGGTCTCATTTCTATAGGTTAAAAGAGGGAACAGTGGGTTGAATCCAGAGCCTCTCAACCTCTGAGCTACTCCCCTGACCTTTTTTAGTTTTTGTTTTGAGACAGGGTCTCGCTAGGTTGCCCAGGCTGGCCTTGAACTTGCCGTCCTCCTGCCTCAGCCTCCTGAGTAGCTGGGATTACAGGAGGCACCACTGCACCCTGTTAATACTTTCAAATAATATAAATAACGGTCAAAACAAAACAACAACAACAACAACAAAAGAAAAAACATGTGTTTAGTAGAGTCAGAAAAGATAGGAAATGTTAATATCTATAAAGCAGAAACACTGCTTCCTCCTTCCGTATTATCACAAAAGGACAAATCAAGAACTACTGGATCAAGCTGGGCTTGGTGGTGCAAGCCTGTAACCCAGCAGCTCAGGAGGCTGAGGCAGGAGGATCGTGAGTTCAAAGCCAGCCTCAGCAATTTAGCAAGGACCTAAGCAACTCAGCTACACCCCATCACTAAATAAGATATAAAAAAGGCCTGGGCTGTAGCTCAATCCCTGGTACCAAAGAAAGAGCTACTAGATGAGTAAACATTGATGGCTGACACAATTGCTGATCCAATCCAAGCTCCTCATTTACTGATACTCAAGTTTTTTTCTGATTATCAATCTTCTTTTCCTTTCTACTGCTGAGCAGTGTTCCGTGGTTATGAATGTAGTGTAGTACTTTTATTTATTTTTTTATTATTTAGAGAATACTTTATTAGTTTCTGTAATCAAACCCACATAGATAAGATCTTACATACTTAATATAGTGTGTTACCCCTATACAAATGGAAAAAAAATTAAGTTTAACATTTCTAGACCAATATGTCTGTGAATTTCTATACAATGCCAACTTAACTTGGTAAGCTGGGGTACTTTTTCCAAAGTCGACAGCACAGCTGATTTTCCCAAAATTCAAATTATATATGTATACACACATGCACACACACAAACACACAGTATTTTAAATAAAAAATAATTCATCTTCCCTTATCCTGTACCTCAAGATTTCCATCTTTTTTTTTTTAAAAGTTTTGTACTTTATATATAATTCTTGAATGTCCTAGATTTTTCTCCTGTGTCTTTATCTCCTAAATTTCCCTTTAGTTTTATATTTAGCATTTAAGTACAGGACTCATTTTGAGTTGATTTTTATATAAGATGTGAGGTTTGGATCAATATTTATTTATTTATTTATGGTCTACAGATGTCTAGTTGCTCTAGTACAATTTGCCAAAAAACTATCTTTTCTCCATTGATTTGCATCTTCACATTTGTAAAAAATTAGTTGAACATATTGTGTATGGATGTATTTTTATGTGTCTAGCACGAACTAGTCATGGAACAAATATTTACTGAGCACTTGCTATGAGCCAAGTTTTATTCTTTGTGCTTGTGATGCCAAAAACACCAAAAGCAAACAAAAATTCCCATGTTCATGGAGCTTATAGTCTAGTAAGGAATATAAATATCAACAAAAAAATGAATTAATGCATAGCATAGGTCAGGACTAGAAGTACTCAGAAGAAAGGAATGCAAAGTACTAGAAAGTAATGTGTATGTGGGCTGGACAGCATATGTTAGGTAATACAGTCCAAGAAAACCTGTCAGAACAAGGGACATTTGATAAAGGACCTGACTTGAGTAAGGGAGTGAGTCATGCAAATATTCAGGGAGAAAACTTTCTCTGAAGACAGAACATAATATCCACAAGTACGAAAGATTGATATGAACTGGGTGTGATGGTGCATGCCTGTAATTCCAGCAACTCAAGAGGCTGAGTTAAAAGGATCCCAAGTTGGAGGCCAGCCTTAGCAATTTAGCAAGGCCCTAAGCAACTCAACAAGATCTTGTCTCAAAATAAAGCATAAAAAGGGCTAAGTATGTAACTCAGCACACACACACACACACAAATATATATATACACACATATTTCTATGTGTATATATATATACACATATCTATCTATGTGTGTATGTGTGTGTATATATATATGTATGTATATATATATATATATATATTGAATATGCTCCTGGGAAGGTCCATTATCAATACAGCTGTGTAAGTTTCTGGCTCTGCTCTCCCAAGATAACAATTATAGGGACTGGAGTTGTAGCTCAGTGGTAGAGTGCTTGCCTCGAATGTGTGAGGCACTTGGTTCGATTCCCAGCACCACATATAAATAAGCAAATAAAATAAAGGCCCATCAACAACTAAAAAAAACAGATAACAATTATAAACTCTGAATATGATAAGTAAGAAAATAACAAAAATTCTCCCTGAAGGGACCAGGAGTGAATGAAAACAAATGTGTTCTAGAGGAGTGATAACTCTTGGGAGAAAGGAATCGCTTAAAGAGAGTCCCCATTTGTTATGCCTTTTAGCTTTGAGGGAAAATAGAAGCTGGCATAATGTGGGATGGCTAAAACTTTTGTAGAAAATCCATAGCCTTTCCAAACTGAAGAAACAGAAAATACTTGGGGCAGCAGCAACCACTGGAAAATGAAGGAGGAACCCAGAAGTTAAAAAGCCTAGAAAAGGGGAACCCATCCTATGTATCTAAGTCCATTGATTTAGCTCATAGTTCTGGAGACTGGTATGTCCAAGATGGAGTGGCTGCATCTGGTTAGGGCTACTTGCTTCTTCAACTCATGATGGAAGGCAGAAGGGCAAGAATGCATGTGTGGGAAAGACAAAACACAAGGAGTAACTCTGCTGTGTAAGAATGTGTTCTCCTGGTAATTAATCCAGTCCCATGAGAGTAAGGACTCACATTTACCACACAGCATTCATCCTTTCGTGAGGGTGAGTCCTCCCTGAATCAAATGTCCATCACCTCTCAACACGACTTTATTGGAACCAACTCTTAACACGAGTTTTGGTAGAGACAAACCATAGCATTATGTGTCAGCTCTGCTCCAATCTCTGGCTGATCTCTGAATTACCCATGAGCACTACAGGCTGAATCAGTCCAGCCCAAAGTAAAAGAACTGAATTGAGATTTGAGCTGCTACGCAAGAGAGAGTTTTCAGTTTGGGTACAACTAAGTCAATTGTTTGTTTAAACAAAAAAAGTGAAACAAGAAAAGCGGTTTACCTTGGGAGTAATATAATAGAATCCATTTACAATGTCCAAGATACAATTAAAAATAACTAGACATGTGAAGAAGCTAGAAAAATGGAATCATTCTTAAGAGAAAGAAAATCAATGAGATTTTTCTTAAGAGGATCCAAATGTTGAAATTAGCATAAAAGGTTTTTTTCCCCTTTTTTTTTTTTAAAAAAAAATTTGTTATCTTGTATTTGAGAGTGGAATGCATTTCAATTCATTGTGCACAAATGGAGAACAATTTTTCAATTCTCTGGTTGTACATGATGTAGAGTATCATCATATGTGCAGTCATACATGTACCTAGGGTAATGATGTCCATCTCATTCCACTGTATTTCCTACCCCCACCTCCACTTCCCTCTCCTGCTTTGTTTAAAGTTTCTCCATTCTTCCCACACCCTCCCACCCCTATTATGGATCAGCATCCACTTATTAGTGAGAACATTCAGCCTTTGGTTGTT